GATTTAAGTAATTCCCATAGTCATTTCTTGGTGTTGTAATTTGGTATTGCATCATTATCGTATCATAGATAAACTGGTATTGTGACCCTGTCTGCTACAGAAGATCTGGAAATAACGAAGAAATCCCAAAGGAAAATCAATGACAAATTATTCTCTGTAAATATTTGACCCTAGACAACCCATCTCTCTGTGTCGTTTTGTACTTTAGGGTCAAGTAGACAAAACTACATCAAACATCATGAAATATAAGTCTAGAACCAAGACAAGGTTTCCGACATGATCAATCAAGGAAACACACAAAACCATTTTATAACAGTAGAGGAGAGAATGGGAACGACACGATTGATAGAAATTGTACGTCGTAACCAACGTCTTTCCAATCGGAGCTGTGATTAACGTGTTAAGCACACAAAACGATGCTTGGCGAAGTTGATCGTTCCCTTGAGGAAGACTGTCTACAGACCCTTAATATCAATTTTGTAGGCTAATCACATTGTGGTTGAGTTATCGTCTAGACGGAATTACGACATCCCTCAGTACAGAGGGCGGTAGGATCGATAGTTTTGTCGGAAAGGAACATCGTATGATCGTCTGAAGATGGAGAGTTGTGGCTGATTCCATCACACCACCACTATTATAGTTAATCTTAATTCTAACGTGTTACATCACCCCATATCATAGTTCATCGCATTCTCCGGCAAAAACAATTTAATTCCAGTCAAGGACCCATTACACATCTCAATTCTGGAGAGTACATTTAACAAGGAATCACAAGTAGATGCACGTGGATTATTTTAGTTATTTTATCAATCTCTATACTTTGATCGAACAAATAATTGACAACATTCTTTTTTGAATATGGTAGAGTTAATTTCGATATTAAGAAAGTTTCTACCCTAAAAAATACAACACGAAGAACACAGAGATATGACCCACTTTTCAGCCCACTTAAGGCGCCGTAGTCGTTATTCTCGGGCAGGTTCTACATCCGGTATCATTTTCCAAATCAAATAAATTCAAATCATAAACTGTTTCATTTATTAGTACTAAAATACTAAAGTAGTAATAAAATTTAATATGATATACATGAAATTGGTCTTGTACTTTTAGTACTATGCCAAAATTGCCAACGTGTCCCTCGAGTAGTAGCTTGAAATCATTAAGTAGCTAAAAACCTTTGATAATCATTAAAAATCCCGAACGGCCACCGTTAGTCGACCTTTAACGTAAAATTAAAATGTTTGTTACACTAGACGATAAAATTGCGTTGAACGAACCAATTACTGTAACCAAAAGTATAAATTCCCTGGTATTCATTTTACCAATTTGGCACGTTATGGCCATAAAAGACTGTCCTGCAAGACTCGCAATTAAGTCAGAATACTAAAGTTCAAAGATAATTTAACACAAAACTGTTAATTGTCACATGACGAATTGGCTAGACACTAGGAACAATCATAAATGAAATGGGGTCTAACTTCCTACTATTCAATACCAACCGCTATGCAAAGTATTGGGGGAATTTTTGCCCGGACCCTACTCTTATTTTGAATTCCAGTAAAAGGTTCTTTTACGTGGACGGCCTAGGTGTACATGGAGCCTCGGTTTTCGTACCATTTGAACGACTATAGACTGTACCTTGCCAAACCCTCCGCCCTGCGCGATGGAAAATCCCTGGGTACAGATGAGACCGTAGTCACTGCACTAAACCAAACAGTAATACTGGTCAATACTGGTCCCAAAAATTAGGTTCAAACCTAATATTGCGAATGTATATATATGCTTTATTCCAAACATACGAGTCGACTGAACAGACCAAAGAACGGATATTGCAATTTTTGGTGCCCCCAAGCTATTACCGAATATGCGCCAAGTATGACGTAATATTCAAACATTTACAATCCGAGAGTCTATGATATAGGTCGTATAATCTATTATATGAGATTTTGAGGATTTAGCTTTTATCAATTATTACTTCTGGTAAGGCGTATAGCCTTGTGACCTATTCCCGAAAACTTCATCTAAAATGTCTAAACAGTTTACCCTCTACATCTCAGTACAAATTTAATCTCTTATCCACTGAAAAGCTTAGGATCTAAAAGTATTTGTGAATAAGGCCGTTGTTGTATTATATTACTATTAATGTAAATAACGATTATACCATTAATCAAAAATTGCTAAACCAGATTCAACAAATACGGCGACTATTTCTGTTTTCATGAAAGACTTGAATAAATAAACAATTCCAAGGTAAACCAGGAATATAGACGACCAACAAGACGGTAAATGTGAAATGTATGTAACAGTGAAACTCAGTCTAAATATTTAACGTGTTAGAAATGTCTTAATCTTGAACAAATATAATTATGTTGTAAGGCGAAACGATAATTTATGAATCTATTCGAAGGGATATTAGTATTGGCCGCAATTTGAACCAATATAATATTTGAGTAACAATAAGGTATCGGTTATAACATTCAGTATTAATGACAGCTGAAATAACGATACCACGTCATTTTGATTGATGGAAATACACATCATATGACACTTGTAATGGTCAACATGGTATATTAAAGTCAATATACTTTCCAAAACGTCAGAAATGAATTTCTTGTATAAATGTAAGGATTGTTTAAAGAAGTCGCGGAATTTTTCTATTGCTGTTGTCGTCTGCTGGGGCTATAAAATGGCGGAGGACGACGGAAGAGAATTTCTATAGTGTTATTATGCCGGGTGTTTATCTTTAATAAGAGAATTAATGTTCGAGATATTGGGACAACTCTCAACACCTCATTACCTAATTGATGCAGTGAATCAAAATTTCGCCACTGGTGCCATCTTTATTACCAACCGTGTGAGTGATTATTGTTGTCGAGATTATTCCATGACCACTATGGATAATCATAATTGATAACTGGTGCTGGAAATTATAGTAGAAAGCGATAGTTTGGCCTCAGAATAAAATCGATTAAAGTGAGCGAAGATGAATGACATTACAGATTTATAATATTCACGTCACAGGTGACGATATTATACGAAACTCACCGATGCGTTACATATTATATTGTAAACTACTTTATTCCCTTTCGGGGAAATACATTACTAGAATCGGCTTTTTTATGATCATCAAAGCTATTACTTTGTGCTTGCCTTGTTTACATCATCGTGTAAAATGCGAGGGTAGGTTTTGCTAATTGCTTATGCCTCTTTGAATTCTGTAATTATTATACAACAAAGACGCGGGTGTGGATAGCCCTTGTCGACGTCAACCCTACCTCCTAAACTCAAACAATTGAATATCATTTCTCTATAAACACACTAAGAACATAATTGGAAATGCAACCATCATATTCTTCAATGCACTTTATCCATGCATTATTTCGATTCATACACATCAAAAGACATTTAAATCTAAACATTTTAACATGGATGAACAGACTTCTCACCAATTGCAGTTTAATTTATTTAAACCTGTTTACAAAGCCCAACATTGTCTTAACTAGGAAGTTCTACAATTAAAACCTATTAAACAGATGGAATTTGGGATTTTTATAACTGCATAATTAATGGCTTTGCACCCTTTGGCTGTTTGCAATTGATACCGAAGAGAACAATACAAAGACTACATCAAACGAAGTCATTCATTTAATTAAACAAATATTAATTTAGAAAAAGTTAAAGTTAGCAATTTTATAACATAGCCACTTACGTTCAAAGTTAATCTAAATGTTCTATTACAGATATAACAGTATTAATAAAATCTGATGGACAGATATATGGAGTAAACTGGACTTATATATCAGTCCTCATAGGTTAAAGCAGATATAAAAAGATAATAAAAAGTGAACCAGTACGTTGACATTAAAACTTTCATTGTTGGTAAAATATCAAAGCAGATACATATATTTATGAAGGTGATGGGTATTCAGAATGATGAAAGACAAATAAAGACAAAAAATGTGTGAATATTCCCCAACAACCAATACACTGTACCCAAATTGACGCGACTAGCTTTAATTGCTCAATAATGTCCACCGGTTAGGACCGACTGTACTTCTTTATATCCTCCATATTAAAGGGAGAGAGAGAGAGAGAGAGAGAGAAATGGGGTTTAACGTCCACTCGACACAAACTAGGTCATTTCGGGACCAACATATGGTTTAATTTCATTTCAATAATTCGCTTGCGCGTAGGGGTCTTTAGCAGTGGGAGGAAACCGGAGGACCCGGAGAAAACCCACGAGGTTGGACAGGCAACCCTACTCCTTGCCACGTACAACCGGGGATTCGAAACCACGCCAGTCGACTCAATGGCAGACTTTATGATACAGCGCGCGCACGCTAACCATTCAGCCATCCACCCCCACCCCCCCATATTAAAGGAGCTAAACCTCTGTGCAGTAGGACGTTAAATCTCCCATATCATTTCTTTCCTTTCGACCAATTTTGCTTTTGTTCAATTTGGTTCATATGATAATGTTATTTCGATTAGTTATCCAAGCGATTAAATTTTTGTTTCGATGGATTAAGACGAAGTAGGTGTGTTTACGTATTTTATTTTAATTCTTGGCTTTCAGTTGAAAATAGAATCAGTCAATACTTGACTTTATCCATAAACCTAAAAGTTTTAACGAAGACAGACTGACGCAAAGCAAATCTACACATAAAATCCAATGAAACTGACAGTCTTCTTTTTAATTAAATCAAAGAGTTCTGACCCCTTTTTAGAGTGGGAGTCAGTTTCATTTTATAAATTTGTACTAAGTAAGCATTTATATCAACAATTTTAAAAAAAATATCAAAAGATTCTCAGTAGAAAAATAGGACATTAAACCCCATATCATTTCATTGCCTCAATGATCTCATCCTAACCAAATGTTCCCCAAAAGTGTATAGAGTTATTAATATACCTCTAGGTCATAGGCAACGAGACCAAACTATCTTAAACAATGTTTGATAGCTGAATGATGGGAAAGTCATTTCTATATAGGGAAAACAAACCTGGAATTGTACCCGTTTAGGCGTTTTGGCGACTGTTTTGAACATTACCACATTTCACACGAACATCGCAATACTTCATTTTGTTATCTTGAAGGTTAACATCTCGGATAGAATGTTCTTTGTCCCGAATACAAGAAAAACATAGTCTGAAAAAATAATGGTTACAATTGTTAAGGGTTTTTTTCTTCTTTTAATAAAAATCATTTTTATCTCGGGTTGAAAGACATGTATTTATAGATGGTCTGGGTCACAAAATATGGAATTTGAAATTGGTCTGAGGATGAAAATTGAACAGAGAAGAGAGTCTTTGATAAAGATTTCTGTTAGCAGACAAAGTGGAACGTTATTAACTTATTATGCAAATTCTGATAACCCAATCTACGGTTTTGATCCCCAACAGACAATTACTAAACTCTTTTCTTCGGAAGGCCAATAATTTCAGAGAAGTAAAGATAAGAACTAATCTAGGAAATAATGGACATGACTATGCAATCTGTATTCCTCTAGGGAAATTATTATTATTTATTCACAACGTTTATAAGACATAATTAGAAAAAAACTAATTAATTCATTCAAGGTCATGCCATCTTAACATTTGTGGCTATTTTAATTAAAGGGGTCCAAATTTGTTTTAGCTTACGGGAACTTTGGCATAAATAAATTTATTATCTACATCATCAATAGCATTGACAATCGTTTGAATGCAATATGCATTGTATACTTATAATTTAAAGTTCCAGTCGAGAATTGATTAATTCGGTTACCTTACTTTTATTTTCATTCTCTTTAATTAAGACATTTGTAGATAAGTGAGCTTTTCAGCAACTATAACTGCTTATTAATATAGCATAAACCCTTCATACAATATTGTATTTCTTATATATTTATATCCCCGGCTTCCACGCACCGTCCCAAAATAAGGTACCCAGCCAAACCATCTCACATCCAAGGTCGATTACGATGGCGGGATGTGATCGGTTTTCAAGAATGAATGTTCGTAATTTGATCAGGAATATGTATATATACACGTAAATAGTTATCTATTGTGGCATGTTTACAGCTGTATTTTATAATTCCTACACTACGTCGTATATTGACCATTAAATCTTGTTAATGAATCAATCTGGATTAGATCTCTCCGCCGACCACTATTTTTAATGGTCAGAGATCTTTAATGACTCAATAAAACGTGTAGCGACTTAAACAGTCATGCTGAAATCTTTCTGTGACTGATAAATCAATCACGCCAAACGTTTTACATACGCTTCATTTTCTGTAACGATTATATTTCCACGTATATTTGTATACAAGATGTAACAAACATGAACCTGTGTAAGTAGACGACACTGTGATTAAAACATGGACTGTGAAATCGTACCAATATTTTTACCCACGATATAAATAACTTCACCATATTTTACTTTTGGCAATTTTGGAAAGTCTCCTCTCTTTATATTTCAATCGTTCGGATGGAACGAAACTTCGAGGCCCCATGTAGACATTGGCGAGCACGTAAAAGAATCCTTGGCAGTTGGAATTCGATACAAGAGTAAGCCATAGAGACTTCCCTCATAGCATAGTGTAAGGCGGTTGCCCACCTTCATTAGCCCATCGGAGCAGAACAGTAGAACGTTAAACCTCAGTTCATTCATTTCATTTCTTTCTTTATATGCATAATTCACAAGAGCGATATAAGCGAGCGGGTACATTTGTCTTGAGTCAAAGTGAATGTATTTCAAAGAGACAAATCTTTAATGAAGAATGCTTCTAAATATTTTTGAGTCTGGTAATTTAATCTAATTTATGCCACACAGAACCAGAACGAGAAGTGTCGGTTTTCGAAATAAGCTACAATTTGAAAGTTTTGTTCTAATTTGTCAAAACTGTCAAATTTCCTTGCATTTTCCTTTAATATACTTTTATTTTAATAAAATGAATTTACTATGTTGTGTATAGTATAATATGCTAATTCTGTGTATAGAAATGAAGAGAGGAATGGTATTAATCTATCATAGTAAATTACACGGTTTATTATAACACGCCAATAGTACGACATATTCATTAATCTAGAGATGAAAGGCCAATAAACAAATAAAAACGTATTTTTCTAGTAAATATAAGAGAATTGGCTATTCGTTATCATACGATATCGATTGCTCGTCCTTTGAGATTTGATTAAGATCAATTATTAAACTGCTTTTACCGAGAATAAAAAATAGAAATACAGAGCACACGTGTCATTTTACAGTCATGAAGAACACATTGTCCTCACTTACTCTTCAATACCAACTCAAGTTCATTTTATTTCTCCAATTTCATCATTTGAAGATGTTAACAGTGTAAAATATATTATTTGATCATAAAAATGAAAATATCAGTATTCAGTAGGTCGGATATTGTAAATTGAATGGGATTTAATGTCATGTAAAAATATGGAAATTTTTTATTTCTATGGTTACGGGTATAATAAGAAGTAGGAAAATTTCACCGTCACTTTGATTTCGAACTGTCACTGGTTCTTTTGCCTGTCCGCTAATGTATACACGGATGGATCTCGACTTTTCGTCCCATCTAAACTACTAGGCACACTTTCCTTGTTAGTCTCTCAGACGCCAACCGATTACCCGATTGTACGTGACAAGGAGTAGGGTGGCCTGTCCAACCTCGTCTTTCAGTGGTAACTTTTGAATTATCCATTAAAGAGATTTATGTGCCCATATCTTGACTTATTTTATTATGACCATGTATTTGTGTATTTTTTGAATATGTTCTATAACATACATGAACTATTAAATACCCTGGGTGATATTGTTGATGACATCGAAGATGCAGGTTATAGCGTTCTGGGAGATATTTTATTTATTACAATTTTCTCTTTGTACGGGTACACAATAAAATCAATTAACCCCGATCATTATATTAATTAGGTACTAAGATCCCAACATATCACTGACAAAGTTTTTTTGATTGTTACATTGTTCATTTGTACTTTTCCATCAAAATGGCGAAATGATAAATATTTATTTAGATTTTTTTATATGAAGACATAAAAGAGCCATCTTGATTCTCCTGGGAAAGTGAATGCTGTCTTTATACACACCCTTAGCTTATTAATAACAATTACCATAGATAGATGATTACCACTATAGAAACTTTCCTCACACCTAGCTGTTCAAAATACAAACAGTACCGCAGCCTCAGCATGAGATACTGTACAATAAAGCTCTATTCATTAGCCTTAATTAAATCAATAGCACATTAAAAGCTATTAAGGTGACAAAACGCCGTCTTCGTCCAATATTTAACCATCCTTTAAGATGAAAAAAGACAAAAAATCAATGCGGGTGAAAATATTATTTTTTCAGTCAATAAATCCAAGATAAGTCGATTTCTTGGATAAGCAGAGTTTCCAGTTTGATCATAAACAGATAAATTGACTTGATATTTCACAGTCTGGTCACACATGAGTTATTCTCTGTAGAAGTCAAAATCTGATACACAATACTTATAAAAAGCCTACATAATTTATATCTAGTAAAGAAACTATTTTTTTATTATAAGAAAATATTTTTATTATAGGAAAATAAAGAGAACATATTGGCACTATACATATCAACGTAAGCGTGTTGTGTAAAATAACACAGAAGGCCTGTGGTCAGTTTTAGAAACGAAGTAAGTTTTTTCATCTCTTTGTCTTCGTGACAAAATGTTCTTTAAGAGTATCTATTTTGTCTTCACCGTAGGGGATACTATAAACGGACAAAGATATTGAAGTATTTGGTCAATTTGGGGTGGACATCGCCCCGATATGTTTTGTCAGCGATTGTATTTCGCGAAATGCCCCATTGTTGTATCTTACAGGTGTGAGCTAAGGTTGACCATTGGGCCCTTTACTTTTCATGTTTTGTGCTGCAAAGAGAAAAAAATCCTGACACTTTGAACAAGTCTAACTATTTCCATCTGTTAGAACAAGAATGATCACGAAAATATTGCCCGTGTCTCTTAATTTATTTCAGAAAATGTCAGCGCGAATCAATTACTGGCATTTCAATAATCATGATGTGACAAAGAAGAGATATTCGACAATGCAGATTTCGTTTTAGCAACACTTACAGCTCCAGGGCTCTGCTGTCTAAAGATACCGTAGAAATATTTTATATATACGGCATCATTTTACTGGTGTAAACTCTGTCTATTTCACTGAAACACATTTCGTCAAATACATTAGCTATAAATGCATTGGATGCATACCAGTATTTAGTTAAGCTACACGAAACTTGTCTAGTGGGAATCTGTATGTACGATGTTTAATTTAATAGACAAATACACACGGACGGCAGATAGATTCCGATTATCCACTACATTTCATAAGATGTTAGTAGCTAAGAGTTGATCTATTTTAAGACGAAGCCGGACATTTGTTGTGCTATATCGGTAGTTTTCATCAGTTGGACCATGTGTACTGTCTGTTAATATACATGTATCTGTCAAGTTCTACTTGTTCTATCTCTATTGGATCTTGTCTGTTCAATGAAACAACTGTATATAGAACACTGATGGAATAGTCTGATGCGGACAGAATTTTAATGAGCCGCAAGACAGCAGCTAGACGTATAGAGATTATCGATGAAGCCATATTCCTTTTGAATGTATGGCTATAATAAATCAATCGAGAGAGAGAGATAGAGAGAGAGAGAGAGAGAGAGAGTTAAACGTCCACTCATTTCGGGACTAACATAATATGGTACAATTTCATTTTAATACGACTCGGAGAAAAATTCACGAGGTTAGGCAAGAGACCCCACTCCTTGTCACGTATTATTGTAGGATTAATGTTTTAGGGATGAACACATAGGTATTTCTATTTATATTCATGCATTACAAAAACAACATTTATGTCAATTAGAAACTCTACCTCTTCAAGGTGTGTATGAAAATATATCCGCTTTTTAAAGTCGGCATATAATTAATTTTACGTTTAAATTGTGTTCGGTACATCCCAAATTCCATATCCTTTAACCGAATTATCAGATCAACAACTTAACCTATATTAACGTTTTAAGATTCTCGCCATTATTATAAGTCTGATAGTTCCGTGATGACATTTAAAATTGTTTCAATTTAGAAATCTCACTTCTCATAAATG